CCCCAAAACCCCAAAACCCCAAAACCCCTTATAGTTCAATATTTTAAAAATGTGAAATTATTTTATATAAATTAATATTCAAATTAAGATAAAAAACTAATAAATGTCAGAGGAACTTTAAGATATACAGAAGATGGCTACAGAAGCTGAGATCAGAGAGATTATAGAGAGAGGAATCTATATCCTTCTCAATTTTACAGCTACTTATCTAACATATAGATCACTGGAATTCCTTCCTAGCCTATAAGATCTTTATTCTATTGGAGGAGATGATGGTTCTCTTTTCACTGGTAATAAGTAACAACAATAGAAGAAACTTAATGTGGACGTTTCAACTAAGAATTCTGGTGATAAAAAAGTTGCAGGTATTATTGACTTCGGCATTTTCACAGTGATAAAATACACATTTTACTTTGTTCACGTCTTTGGAGTTTACGCCTCAATAGTAATGAACGTTCTTTCAGGTTCTGCTCTAATTATGAATCCCAATCAATTTCTAGGAACTCCAGCTGAGTATAGTATCAGATGGTTTATGGAAAAATATACTACATGGTCCTAAATCGGTCTTCTTGGATTAGTAGCTCTAACTCTGGCATCATTAGTACTTGGTCTCATCCTTTCAAACGGGACCTATGCTTTGATTGGTTTTGGTCTTGGAGGAGTTGGAGTCGCAGAGCAGGTAGTTTTCTAATCTCCAATTTGGATCTCAACTGGTTTTCTTAAGAGATTAGCATGAGTGCTTAAGAATTTTGCAAATGATATAGTAATCATGACTAATTCAGAATATTTATGAGACTAGCAAAATTGATTATGATGTGGTTGATTTATTAATTAAATCATTAACTTCAATTAGCAAATCCTTAAATTAATTGACAATTTCATAAATAATTTTTGATTGAAAAACTATTAATTTTGATATATTTCAAGAATTAATTTTGTTTTTTGATAATCATTTCTGATCACAAATGCTAACCCCAAAACCCCGTCAAATAAGTGTATATCTTAATATGTAGGTAGAATAAAATGATTAACTGTCATAAGGATTCATTATTTGCAATATTACTTATATCAGTAGACCTATCAGTGCTAGAATACTATTGAGGAGATTCACCGAAAGACTACTTTGGCTTGATTAAATCCTTGAAAGTCATTGCTAAATTCCTAGCAACACTATCTCTTGCAGAAAATTGTTGTTAAGAACTTGATGTGCTTATTAATCCCTCAAATGGATCATAGAGTTCTTAAAGCCAATCTGGGATACCTTTTTAAGCTTAGGGTTTTCTTTTCTAATCTGGTTATGCTTCCTGATCCCTCTTCAGTATATATTAGTGAACTCTTTCTTGCAAGGATTAAAATGATGCTTCGAGAATTCTTAATACATGTTCATTTTCCTGAAGTACTAATTTAACTACTGGCGATGGTACCTGGAACGCTATCATTTCATTAATTACTTTTTCGATCACCTAAAATCTTAAAGTATTTGTTTCTTATTCTTGATCAATCTCATCACCTCTTTTGGTTTCTTCATCTTTATTTTAAACATTTTCCAGACTATTCTTTAGATTGACAAACTCCAAACCCTATTGAATCATCTTCTTCCACACTTTATCTTCCTTCCATATTGAATGGTCTTTTATTGCAAACTTTAAACTGCCACTTTGCATATTTGATATTTGCTAAGCCCCTTCAATTTAGTACTAGTTGTTCTGATTTTCTTTGGTTTACACTGCTCCATTCTTAAGATAAAATACATCGAGGTAATTAATTACTCTTGCAGCGTTTTCAATGTCATTTTCCTTGTTGGACTCAAATAAGAACACATCCAATGCTTCCTTCAAATTTTAAAAACTATTCTTCCCAAGTAGTACCTTTGAGTCAAGATTGAATCTTCTCTCAAGAATGTTAAGGAAATGGGTCCTTCCTTCCTGAGTCTTGAATTATTTGTTCAAGGTTAAATAGTATTCCTCATGTAGTAATACTTCTGTAAAAATACGGCTCACGATAAACTTCATTAGATCTTGGTTATTGCTATACTATGTTATTTTTTCTCTGGGAGGAGTCAGTTAATGTCCTTATATTTAGAAGACATTTATCTTCTTTGATTCATAGGGAGCGAATTGAAACTTCAAATTCAATTTATATTTCTTTTTGCTTGGTGATTCTCTATTATCATTTTAATTGTTAGCATCATCTTCATGTGATTATGTTTGCAAAATTTGTGAGGGATCATAATTTGGAAAGAGATACTTATAAATGCACATCAATTCCTCTTCATTTTTGTATTCCTCTAATAACTTTGAGAAGTTATTCACATCATACTTATTGTTCATTTCAGCTGACATCTCATACACCACGAATTTGTTAATTGCTGAATGCACATTTTCACATCTTTCACTTTCAAACTATTTTAATTATTCACATAGTGACTCAATCTTTGTTCTAAATTCCAGAAGATAGCTATTAGCATTGTCAATGACTTCTTTGTATTAACTTTCCTTTTCCTTAGCCTTTTTAAGATTTCCAATCATATGTTCAAAAGCAAACTGCTTCTGCTAATATTTGAGTTCAATTGAATACTTGGCATTCTCTTCATAGTAAACTACAGATTCCTCTGCATCTTTGGCAGCTCTAAAATAAGCAGTCGCTTTCTGCTTGACTTGTGTATCAAAATCATGCAAATTAGATATCAATATTCTGCCCTCCATTTTCTAATTAAACGATAATTCCTCTTGCCTATTTACGATCTCCTTCAGCATACTGATACAATCATGCTACATATTCTCTGCTAGCTCTTCAGCTTGAAATGCTTTAGACTTGCAGTCTAACTTAAATGCATCTATTTCTTCGCTAAGCTTTCCAATAGTAATAGATTTCAATTTGTTCTAAGCTATTTTTTACAATCTAGCAGCATATATCTTCTCAGCTTCTACTCTATCTTAGAATAATATGACAAGTTCCTCTATTTCTTTCTTACGCTAATGATAAAAGTTCCTTTAGACTTCAAAGTCATGATAGAACTGATACAAAGGTGATTCTTTGAAAGAAGTGCTGAATGACAGGTTATTCATAATTTAATGATTTTATATTTTTGAATTCGCTTTATTATTTTACACTATATTTTCAGCTGGGGTTTTGGGGTTTTGGGGTTTTGGGGAGATCGGAAGAGCACACGTCTGA